CTTTCCTGCTCTCTAAGCCACAAGAGAGCCCCATCTCCACTCCCAAACAACCTGGTTAAGCCCCAACATGGGCGCCACACCTTTACTTAAATCCCCAGGAAGATCTTCCTGCCTAACCCCATTTCCAACTCCTCCCACACTGGGTTACACCTGCCAGTAGTCTGGTTTCTTCTGCCTTTCTTGGCTGCTATTATTAGTCCAAGGAGCATGGCCCCATGACACAGGAGTTGCCTCCAGGCTGCTCTTGCAGACCCTGGAAGACCTGCCAGCTACCTTGCATCACTGGTTAGCAGCACGCCCATCTCCCTGGCTCCAAGAAGAGACACAGCTGTTTAATGTTATTAAAACACTGGCCAATCCCTTCAGATAGGCAAAGTAGCTCTCAGTGGCCCTGCTCTGCTGCCCGCATTGCTCAGGTGATAGCTTTGTTTTTTTTTTTTTTTTCCATTTTGGGGAACTTTCAGCTCAGCACACCATTATAATTCTCTCCATCCAGATAAAACCCTTTATAATCTTACAAAGGACAATGGGCTATGGTCTCATTATCTTCTTGCAGCTGCTTCTTGCTGGACATGGCTATTGTCCTACCTACCCTTGGGTCCAGGTGTCCCTAAAAGAGGGGGACCTGTGTCGTGGAGGGTGGCCTTCCCATAAGGGGAAGGACCTTGCTGAGTTCTGGTCAGGGGGCTATCTCCAGGAAGCAGCCGGTTCTATGTCAAAAGGTTGGCATTACTGGATAGTTGGCAACCTTGCCACACACTGGAGGTGACAGATTTGGCAAGAGGGTCAGAAGGCACAATTAAAACATAACCACTAAATGACAAAGGCAGGGATCAATTCTTCAAAGTTCCACATTAAGAAAAAACGGCTTATCTGGGGTAAGGTGTGCAAGGCATGCTGCACCTGTCTGAAGCTTCTTTGCCCCACTATATTTAGCTTAGGCTGAGGGGAATATTTTAGGATTTCCCCCCTTTCAGATTCCTGGGCCCTTTTTGTCTGAGCCATTAGTGCAAAAAAGGAAAATGGGTTTTAAGTGAAGCCCACAGACAGCCCCAATCCTTCACCAACCCAACCACTTAGTTCAGCCAAACTTGACTTTCAACGGGCAGTGATGAAGATGGGCTCTTTAACCAGTCACTCAGGTAATGGGGTCATAGGCTTTCACCCTATGAAAACAGAAGGAAGAACACACATGTTAATCCATACACAACCCACAAACCAGTCTCCAAGTTTGTGAAACTGCCTTTTGGGGAGACATCCAGTTGCAAGGCTTTTGTGGAAATAATGTTTAGCAGTGAAAAATTAATAGGTCCTTCATGCCTATACATTGAGCATCTTTGATGATGTTACACACTCAATTTTAAGTTCCAAATGAAAACCAACTTCCAAGACAGCTGCACTCATCCAATGTTCAACACTGGGCCTTGTGATTTTCCTTGAAACATGATTTTTCTCCTTAAGGTCACCTTCATTGTCATTAAAGGACTACATTGAGTTCAGTTTTAATTTTGCCTGTTCATTTGCATAAACACACCAAGAGCAGCCACGGGTCATAGATGATCCTTAAGTCCACTTTGCCGGAACTCACACAAGAAAACTCTTTAGTGTGCCTGTGAGGGCACAGAAGCTGAGCCACACACCTGCCATTAGCCCTCACCTGTACCCGTTGTTTCATTCAAGTCTTTGAGGCTTCCATTGTGCCTTCAAGTTCCTTTTTAGCCATCTTTCAGGAAAGCAACGGTCACTCCTTCCCTAGGAAGACTGCCACGAACGATACAAATGACCAAGGTACCAGGCCTTTTTTCGTGGGCTTCCATGAGCTTTGCAAGTTAATCCCAGTTCCTCAAGGCTCTCTGGGTCACCAGACCTGCCTCCTTTGGACATGACATTCCAGTCAGAATCTTAGTTATGCAAATAAACCTTATGTCATCACTCATTCCTTCAGAATTCCAAATTCTGAAGGGATCAGGTAGGGAGAAAAATACCAAGTGTGAAGGAAAATCATTGTCCTTCCGATATCCACTAAGATTGCATTTTCCATGTCCTGTACTTTCTCTATTCACTTTTCTACATAGTGTGAAGTTTTAACTTCCTCCGGGAAACATCAATTTATTCTCAGAGAAGATACAGAGCAAAATTCAAAACAGAGGCAGAGTTCCAGAAGAACAATCCAGAAGTAGAGGCATTCTCTTGTGCCAGTGCATCCCCTGGTCTCCTGGCGGAGACATGCCCTTTTAAATCCTATTCGAGACACTCTCTCAGCCCCACCAGAGCCTCCATTGACCACCTGGCATAGATGTGCCCTTTCAGGGCTGGTCTCTGGGCAGAGACTTGCTCTTTTGCTTCAGACCAAAATACTCATTAGGCCTGAATGACCCTTCCTGGGTCCCAAGTCACAAAGGCATTCTCCCCAACCAGTTACAAGCAACCTTTCCTAGGTCTTCAGTTACAAAGGATTTCTGATCAGAAACAGAGCAAAATTCAAATCACGTTCCCATAAAAAAAAAAGGCAACTGAGCTTTCTTTTCCTTCAGATTTCAAACATTTACAACCTTTTGACACATCTTTAAAACATTCCGCAGACCTTCTGCATAGTTTTACCCATTCAGATTTAACCATAATGCACTTTCAATCTTTGTTCTTTCCCACATTAGGAAGGAATGCATTCAAACTCAGTATCTGGCAACTAAGAATCCCTATCTTTACAGGCACATGCATCTTCCATTAAAAGTCCCTAGATTTGCAGGGATATCCTGCAGCTTTCTGAAGCTTAGATCTTGCAAACACCCTATAACTCAGAAAGGTCACCCTTGGACCCCAGTTCATGACCTTCAGAACCAGAGCCATCCCAATCAGAGCCAGCTGCACAGAGAAGCCAACTGGGGCAGTGCCTCACAGCAGCAACACACTGCACATGACCTAAAGGGCACACTCAGCCCACCACCCTGCCCAGTTCCAAGACGGCAGAACTCTCATGTGACCCATTATCCAAGATGGTGGAGTGGCATCCCAGCTCCAAGAGATTTGCTGACCTTCAGCTATGGAGTCAGGATGATGTGTAGCCGGGATGACTAAACCAGGATGACGCACTCCGGACCGTCACTTGCCTTATGAGAATGAACTGTGTTTGCACTTAGAAAACTTTTCAGCACTCTGCCCTTGATCTCCTTGTTCTATTCCCTTATCCCTCCCTATAAAGCCTGTGCCTGCACTGAGATGTTAAGATGGATTTTGACACATGAGTCTCCCATCTTTTAGGGTGACTGGTACCCAGATAAACCTCTTTCCTTTACAGCAGCACCTGTCTCTTGAGTACTGGCTTTTGAAGTGACAGGCAACCAGACCTATAGTCACCTTGATTACAGTCTCTACGATGATCAATGGGATAACTGCTCCTTAAGTAAAAAAAATGTTTTTTATTGATGTGGTAAAACAAAAATGTTTCTGTTTTAAAATTTTAAGCACCTCTCATGTTTGTCATTCATCAAGTTAATATATTTACAAAAATTATAACCAAACTAGGAAATTCTGCTAACTGGAACCATGTGAGCTTTTTTAAAGCCAACCTAGTAGGCAGAAGAAAAAAGGTTAAAAAAAGATGCCAACATACTAATTTTTAGAACTTCAATATGTTGGCTTTTGTGGCAAAGGGTACTTAGTTGGTATCAGACCCCCCACATTTTACTAGTAGGAAACAGGTAATAATACTAATTGGCTAGAGATGGAGCCATGGGTCTAGAATCACAGAGGATTATTCTCAGGTCTCCTAAACAGAATGGAATTCTCCCAGCTGAATTGTGAAATTGTTTGATACCAGCGACTTCTTTTTCCCTTTAATTTTTCCACATTTTTTGAACAAATATGTTTGTAACTTTTTAAATACAGCTGTCCCCTCACTGCCTGTGGGAATTTGTTTCACAGTTGAGTTTCTAACTATACATTTTCCTGTATTTTGGGAGCAGGTCATTTGTTTTGTTTTGGATTTTTTTTTAGTTCCACGGGTTCGCACAGGGAGAATAATTGTACCCAAGATAAAGAATGGCCAGAGCTCCATTCATACTTAATTTAGATGATGAAGAAGACAAGATTTGGAGTTTTTGAACTGATGAGATAGTGGGCTTTGTGTTGATGTCCTAATGGAGTGAGACTTCTGGGAACCTTGGAATAGGGTACCTGTACTTGGAATCTGGGGCAGATCTATGAAACTTCAGGAAGCAGGGGGTGGACAGAACAATATCACCATCCCAAGAGGTTCACTTCCTAATCTCCAAAGCCTGTCAATATGTTACTTGACAAGACAAAAGATACTTTACAGATGTGCTTAGATTAAGGATCTTGAGATAAAAAGATTATTCTGGTGGATTCACTGGGATCATAAGATGCTTGTAAGTAGGGAAGGAGATTAAAGATCAAAAAAGAGCTAGAAGGTGCTGTGCTGTTGGATGTTAAAGTGAAGGAAGGAACCCTGAGCCAAGGAACGCAGGTGGCCTTTCAGAGTTAGAAAATTCAAAGAAACAGCTTCATCCTAAAGCCACTGGAAAGACTTGGATGTTAGCCCAGTGAAACTTACTGTGGACACCTGAGCTTGTAATTGTGATCAGATACGTCTGTGTTCCTTCGAGACTCCATACCTGTGCTGATATGTCATATACATGTATGCTTATTTGTTACAACTTTGGTTTAGAGAACGGGATTTAAAAAAATCAAATGAAAATGAAACTTGCTTTTTCCACTTTTTATTTTGTTCTTGAAGTCTATCTCTCTAGCTCATTTTATGTGTATAAATGTGTACATACATGCATATTTCTCTGTAGATCTTTATCTCACTATACATTTTTGAAAATAGTTCCATTAATGTTATATATTGCATCCATCTCTTCCTGTAATGATGGTAGTTATTTCCAACTTTTAGTTTTTAAAATGCTATGACTGGCTACCCTCTCCAAGCTCAGCCATCTGCTGTAATGTCTTCCACTCAAAGATTGTCATACTGGTTTTAGATTCTGCTTTCCAACGCATGGCTGGCCCCTCTCCTCCTGGCTCCTACCCGGACCTCTCCAGCGGGCCCACCTCACCATGGGGAAATGCTGACGGCACTCAGTTCCTGAGGACGGGACTTTGGGAGATCAGCTAATTTGGTATCCTGAAACTGAAGCTTCCTCAGAACTTTGACAGATCCAGTAGTTTGTACAAGATCATGAATTACATAAAATCATTTTTATTCTTATGATTATTATTTTTCCTGTTTATCCAATGGCTATCAAAGTAAAATATTCACTTTGCGTGCTCCATTGAAAATGTACTGCCTATTCATTGCTGCTCTTATCAGTATTTTCCATGAATCCAGTTTAGAAATAAAATGTACTATTGTTGTTTTTCCTTGTATTTGTTTTTGATATTGTAATTGGAGCCTATTCAAAAGGAAGAAGGAGACCAAGCATTGTCTGAACAACAATAGCTTCTCTAGTACTGTAATAAAATGTGTGTGCATTTGTTAACGATTATCTACGGTCAATTCATTCTTTAAAAAAATCAAAAAGGATCAAAATCACGGGGACCTTACTATGATTATGTTGGCATTATTAGAGTCTTCTAATATTTTTTCATTGAATTTAAGCTGTGGTTTCTCTGTTGGACTTCCACCCAAGTGGTTTAAGTCCGAATATCTAAAAACAAAGGCCCAGGCCCTGAAACATTTAAATGTGATAAAAATCAATTTTACCTGTGTGATTCCCAGCTGAATGCCACTTCTGATGTACATTGGCTTCAAAAGAAATTAAAAGATAAGTAACATGATTACAATCAGATTAGCTTGTCTAGGCAGACAAACGAGATTGTGGGGATGTCTGAATAAAGATCCCTCCTAGCGAGACCAGTGTACATCACATTAACAAAAATGAGTTTCCAATATATGTTATATGTGAGCTCTATACCAGAGTGGGTAAATGGAGAACTGCACCCTTGTGATGGAATATGAGTCAGGGAAACTCTGTTATTTTGTGACTACTCAAGAATTGACTGCCTATTGGAATACTTTATGAAGTATCTTAGAAAAAAAACTGAATCATTCTCTGAGATTTGTTGATTAAACTAAAAGAAATGTTCTTTGATTAACAGAACTCATGAAAATCAAAAGGGGAATTCAGAGCCCAGGAAAATCTTGGATCACAACTCATTCTACAGTGTAGAATAAGATCATGAAATATATTCAGAGGGTAATTCATGACAAAGGTCACATATAACTAAAAGAAAGGAACATACATTAATGATTACGAATAAGACAATATGCAGAAATGGGTGGACTCAGTTCCAATTAGCATGATATCCTTAGTGGGGTAAAAATTTCCTGATTCTATTTATCTTACTTATAAAGTTACTTTATTATTATTATTGTTGTTTAGGGGGAGAATAACATTATATCAGGCAATGAGAAACTAATTGAGAAATATCTACTTAAGCAACTATGATAATGCCACACTAAGCTATTTTCTTTTTAGCTTATAATTATTTTGGTTATAAAGAAAAAAATATGCAGGAAGTTAAGATAATTCGTGCCTTGGTGATTGTACACTGATATAGATGCCTTGATGATTGGACAATTCCATGGGTAAAAACTGCTCTAGCAGCAAGTTTTAAAAATAAAAAAGCCAAGCAGATGACAGATCTTTTGAAGTTAGAGTAAGAGATATAACAAGAAAGAAAGGAGTTTGTGAAAGGGAGCCCTATTTTTACACCGCAGTGGAATAGCCAGTTCTCCAAACATTTTGATCTAAAATGCCCATTTTCCCCATCACAAGTTTGTTTCAATGTCCTTTCATTGCAGAGTTATGATGCTTCAGATGTTTTCATATTGCACAGAAAACATCCTATGAATGAATAGTGGCTTTTAGAATAATTTCCTGATAAAAATATTACCAAAATTCAATTTAGAATTTAAAATATTTACTATTTGCATTATTTAAAAAAAACAACTCTATTTAGGTAAAACATGTGTCATTGGCTAAGGTGACTTTTTTCATGGAAAGTGCAACTATACCCTTTCTTTACTTAAAATGTATGAGATAAAAGAAAGGCAAGGAAATGATTGTCAGTTAAGAACCTTGGGAGATATTTCACAAAAACTTTTTTCCTCCTAAGTATAAAGCAGTACCTTAATAACTTAATTTCAGAGAAGTCCAGTTGTACGTATAACCTAAATCAGATTATAAGTGCTGCCATTAAAGGAAGCCCTTAGATATGGATTCAAATTCTTTTTTCTTTACATGGAGATTAAATGCTGTAGGAAAAATGTGGAGAGCTCAGTGAAGTGTTCATAAGTGAGAAGTGGAACAGCCCTTTGACAAAGCACCATGAATCTCATGAATATGTTTTGACAAATATTGCATCAATCATTGATTACTCTTGTGATGTGGATGTTTAATTTCTAGTACTTACTTCCAAAATTCAATAGTTGGTTCACTTTTCAGTAAAAGCTTTTAAATAAGAGTTTCCATAGAGCTAAATTAATTCAATTTTTATAGAGTGGCACATTTTACAAGAAGTTTGAAAGTGGGACAACCATCTTGGAATGTATCAGCCTTAAAAACATAGCCAAAAAATAATTTCAGGTTTCATGGATCTTTGCACATGAGGTCTCATTTCATTTTGGGTCTCTAGCTCTCTTTCTCTTCTTCGTCTTCTCTCTCGTTTTTCTGTCTATGTTACAATTCTCTTATCTACCATATGGGGGTTAGTAACACTTCCTCTTGGGGTTGTTGTGATGGTTAAAGAAGCAAATCTATGCAAAATGCCTAGTGCATTGCCTAACATGCAGTAAATGTTCAAACATTGTTAATTGACGTTATTCTTTTTAACTAGCACAAACCGGGCTTGTTACCTATAATGCAATGTCAACTGTATTATACTACATTAAAGGTATGTGTAGTGACATTGTCACTGGATTGCATGAGATAACTAATGGTTAGTTTTTTCCCCCCAATGTATATCAAATAGCATTGTTCATTTAGTTCAACTTATACACTGAGGCAAGCATATTTGAGATGCCTTTATAACTGAAAGTCTTATTGAATTATAGACTGGCTGCCATACTTAAGGAGCAAAAGTAAAACTGCTTGCTCAATAATTTCTCTAGTGCTTCGTTTTTGCCTCCAGAATTACCTTTCTTCTTTTCAGCTCTATTTAAAATTGCTCTATTGCAATTTGTGTTTTATATTTTATTTTACTCAATTGCTCAAATGAATCTATGTTTCTAAATCACTATCTTGAGCCATAAATTTCTGTAGGGATTAGAAACTCTGGGTTAGTTACTCTGCTACATTGTAACCTATCTGAATCCCTCCCCTATTGTAGACTTCTGTACTATTTTCTCAGGGTAGACCTTTTGTTACTCTGGTCTCATCTGTCTTTTGAAATAGCAAGTTTAGCAAATGCTTTGCATTATCTTTTTGTTTCTTCTCCATTCAGTGCTTTCTGTGTGGTGCTGTGTGGGTGGGACCATGACTTTGGCTGGTGATAACCACGGTCTCAGGTTTCTGTCACTCAGAATGCTGAGTGGTAGAAAGTTGATTCCCCAAAGCAGATCCAGAACAGTCTCTTCCTAGCCTTCCTATAATATTCCTTGGTCAATATGAAACTTAGTTTTTATCATTGATTTGTACCCTTTGTATCCATTCTTAAAACCAATTTTGATCATCTGGATACCTGAGTCTCTAGTCAATTCCCATGAATAGAGTTACTTAAGTAAAAAGCAGTCTCTTCATTAAAAGGTGAGTTTTCATCTCCCTACAATTCAGTGACTATCAGAAAGCACGATTGTATGCTTGCCATCTTGTCACATTTTTTGGTTCATCTGTGTTTTGATCATCACCTTGACCATTGGGTATTCTATTAAAATTTTTCTTTTTTATAGTAAAATTCTTGGTTTAGATTATGTCATCCATTTCTTATTTATAAAAACCAAAATCTTGATTTAAGAGTTAATTTTCCCTGAATGTATAAAGCAATGCAAAGTTTCAGTACCTCATAAAGTTTTTGGAGTAAGTATGAAAGTGATTTTCCTCTCTCTGCTGGGTTATTAAACCCTTGAGACATAATTAAGGAGACTAAGGTTCCAACTGGTAAAGGAATTGTTAATACTTAGCTCACTAATAGGAGCTGTTACAGAGAATTTCAAGGAGGAAAATATTCGATTCTTACTGTAAAGAAAGTCTTATAACACCCTAAATTATTTTCTTTAAGAGAAAGACTAAATGTTCTCACTGTAGTACTCCTTAGTGTAGAATATTGTGTGGTGTTTTAAAAGAATAATGTAAATTGGAATACAGAAGTATAAAGTATTTATAAGAAATAGTGTATAAAAATATGAAGTTGCAAAAGATACATAACAGTGATACTATTTATATTATATAAACGCTATACATATAAATTTTCTATCTATCTATCTATCTATCTATCTATCTATCTATCATCCATCAACCCCAAACCAAAATAGTAAGTCTGGCATTCGTGGATGTGTGAATATGTGTGCCAATGCAGAAATACCTGTAGAAGAATATTTAAGTCCCTCATGTGGAGCAGCGCTAGAGGAATGGGGAGAAGTCTGAGATTGCAAATGGGAGACATAGGAGAACAGATTTACTTCTAATAATCAAGTGTTCCTCAGTAGATGAGTGGAAAAAAACAGCTGTGGTACCTTTACTTAATGAAATACTAGTTGGCGGTCAAAGGAGAAAGAAGATTTATTCTTTGCGACAACATGGATGGACCTGGAGGGCATCATGCTAAGTGAAATGAGTCAGTCAGAGAAAAACAAACACCATATGATTTGATTTATATGTGGAATGTAATGAACTAACAAATGGAGACAGACTAATAAATAGAGAGCAGACTGACAGCTGTGTGTGGAGGGGTTGAGGGTTGGGTTAGGTGGGTGGAGAGATTGAGCAAAAAAGAATAAAAAGGGAGAAAAACTCATGGACACAGACAACAGTGTGATGATTACTGATGGGGGCAGGGGCAGGTACAGAGTTGGAAAAAATAATTTAAAAAAAACCTTTGACTACCTGTTCCTAAAAAATAAATGACTTTCTACTCAAATTTGCAAGAATTGCATGAGTTTGAATTTCTACTTCAGATCGTAACACAAAACACACTAAGGACCGATGAATTACTGGCAGAAGAAATTTTAATACATGAACACATGGGCATTGTTTTTTACTAAGATAAAATACACAAACATAAAATTTACCATCTTAACCACTTAAAAATAAATAAATAAAAATAATAATGTATTTATGCATTGCTTCAGAACTTGAAAATTGACTTGAAAAAAAAGTGTTTCTATAAAGGGCATTGGAATTTGAACATTTTCCTCCCTTCCCCTCATATTCCCAAAGAGAGATCAGCAAATATTTAGTTTGAACTGGACACTAAACTTACAAGTTTAACCTAAA